CGATATGTTAAATAGTTTATTTGTGTTAATGGCATCATTTTTATTTTTATCGCTCCGAGTTTTAAAGTGAGGCGAAAAATATATATCACATTTTTAAAACACAAAACTTAAAATATCAAAACGGCTAACCTTTTTACGCCAAACTTTTAATTCAGAAACTGACAATAGAGAAAAGAACGAGTTCAAAAAAATCGATGACAAATAACCAAGCAAGCAAGAAGCACAAAAAGTGTTCCACCGTCTCATCTTCTTCAAGGCAAGATGGGTAAATGGACTTGTCATTTACGCCTATCACAGTCAGGTGTTTGTGCCACGTGAAGTGACCAGTCAGCAGTCCAGCAAGTTGTCTGCAGTGTCGTCTGCTCAGTGAGAGCAAAATATTTGATAGACCTTGTGAGATTGAAGGCAACATGAATTTTGCCCACCTGTCCATCCCCTCGATGCCTCTCAGTCATTGCTGAGCGAAGTATTCACCCAGTTTCTGATGGTGGCTTCGATTGCCGAAGGTGGGAGTGCTAAAACAGGTTGCGGACCCAGGAATGCCTGGTCTGAGCCAACTCTGGCCAAATTATCAGATGTCTCATAACCAGGTACTCCAGAGTGACGTGGCACCCAGAGTAAAACAGCCTCGTTATGTTCACCATCATATTTTAGTCGAGATTTGCATTGCCGAACTAGTTTGGAAGTACTTAAATAGAGGACTGGTTAATGCCTTAAGCGCAGCTTGGTTGTCACTGCAGTCACGTAAACTCCTTCCCCTCCACCTATGTTCCACCACGTAGTCCATGGCTTTGAGTATAGCAATTACCTCAGCCTGGAAGACTGAAGCATATTCCCTTACAGAAAAGTGAAGCTTATCTCCATTAACCTCGAAAAATACCCCGGATCATGACCCAGAGTCAATTTTGGAGACATAAGTGAAGATTAGACAATGTGTGAGTCCGGTCTCAGCGATGGAATCAAACCAGCATTCAGTCTCAGGGAACTCAACATTATAGAATCTCTTCAACAAAGGTAATGGTGGCGTACTGTCCTGTAGCATTGAAGTTCTTAAATCTCTGCCGCCAGCAATTTTCGCCGCGCCCCACTCATTGTCATACCAGCATCCGGTTATTTTTAGTCTGCAGGTGGCCTTTAAGGCTTCCCCAAGTATGAAAACACAAAGTGACGGTAAGTGCAGCAGTGCGTCAAGAGCACTATACACCACTCAAAAAAATTAAAGTTAAATAAAGAGGCTATCAAGCAACCATTTTGGTTCTTTACATCGAAACCAGATACATTTTCGTGGACCCCCATTTACAACTCATGGACCCCCATATTTTGTTCAAGTCACCGTGGACCCCCGTCGAGTCTTCCGTGGACCACTTTGGGAATCACTGGTCTATAGCATAGTTAATTCCGCTTACGATTAACTAGAAACACGCACGAAATCTGGAAATAGAATTTAATTAATTCCTTTATTATTTTGGTGCTTTCGTGCAGTTCCGTTCGGAAAGGCAATTTAATAAAAATAAAATAAAATAAAAAAATAGTACCTGAGTCAAAAAACGAAAAGACGATGCTCGTCGCTGCTTCGTGCGTATTTTGTCACATGACTTCAAGGTTGAGGCAAACAAGTTCCATCTATTCACAAATTATAGTCAAAAATGTCTGTCAGCCTGCATTGTATGGATGAGTAGCGGATGAGCATTCATTTATTGTTTAGGTTTAAATTTTAGTTCACTGTTTGATGTTTAAATAGTTTCAGCCGTGCGCTTAGTGTCGTTGATCACATGACACACAAACGAGCGTGGCATAGGTGTTACGAAATACATACATATGTGTTTCATGCTTCTATTTAAGCATTGACTGATCTTTGTTGTTCAATTGATGTGCTCAAATTCAAATTAAAAGTATTGTTGATTGCCACTTCGTGATCCTTTCACTTCAGGCAATTTCGAATTTTTATTTTTATTTCTTGGCCGAAGTTAGGTGTCCCACAGTAGGAAATATCGGAAAAATTTCTAGCTGCGGCGCTAGAATAACCGCATGAGTGTAATTTTTCACGAAACGTTCCTGAAATAGTCCCGACGTAGTCTTGAAATAGTTGTGAACTATCCTCAACGGGTCTTGAACCAGTACCGAAATGATCCTCAACAAGATCCACAATGAACTCGAACTAGTCTTGTCCCAGTCTCCAATGGCCCACAACTAGTACTGAAATGTTCGAAAAAGTCGTTAACTTGTTCCAAAATGATTCTGAAATAGTCCTGAACCAGTCCCAAAATGGCCCAGAACTAGTCTCCATATGAACCCGAACTAGGCCTGAACTAGGCTCAAATAGTCCAGAATTTGAACAGGCCTCGAAGTGATCTTGAACTAATCCCGAAATGGTACTCAACTAGTTTTGAAGTGGTCCCGAAATGCACTGAACCAGTCTAGAAATATTCATGCGTACACACAAGAAGCAATGATACATTTTCTGTTAGGTTACATAAGAGGCAGTTATAAATTTACTTTTGGGTTAACGCGAATATTACCCATACGTAAAAAAAATCTCAAATCCAAGGTGTTTTGTGTAAAATTCGGAGAATACTCCCTCGATTGTCGCAACACTTTGTTTTTGGCACCAATGAAAAACCGAGAAGTGGAACTTATGTTACATACATATATAGTTTGTCTCATAACCAAATTACATATGCACATACATGCATACATCTGCTTTTGCGTAAGGTTATATTTTTTGTGTTTTTTCTATCTAGATCTCTACCTCTAACCTGCTCGTTCTAATTACATTTATGTTATTCTCTTTTCCTTTATCTTTAGTAACAACCATCAAAATATCGATAACAAAACCGATAAAAATATTGATAACCATTTCGATAAAAAAATCGATAACAATATCGATAACAAAACCGATAACTAAATCGATAAAAAACCGACAACAAAATCGACAAAAATATCGATAATAAAATTGATAAAAGAGAATGGACAAAAATATCGATAACAAAATTAATAAAAATATCGATAACAAATTTGATAAAAATATCGATAATAAAATCAATAACATTATCGCTAAAAAATATCGATAACAAAATCGTTAAAAAAATCGATATCGATAAAAATATCGATAACAATATGGACAAAAACACCGATAATAAAATCGATAACAAAGTCGATAAAAAATTTCTATAACAAAATCATTAAAAAAATCGGTGAATCCCGAAATAGTTCCTAGATTGAGACTCTGTGTCTCTATCTATATCCTGTTCTCCATAATTACCTTTATTTTAATCTTTCTTCCTCTATCTTCATCTTTACTTTTATCGGTATCCTCATCCTCATCTTTTTCTTTATATTTACCTTTGTTTTTACTTTATGTTTATCATTTTCTTCATCTACATATTACACTTCACCTTTGCCTTTGTATAAGTAAAGTGTTTAAATTTACCTTGATCGTAATTTTTGCATTTACCTTTTTGTTTTTATTTTTACCTTTGCCTTTATCCTTTTCTTTATCTATGTACGTACTCACCTTTACTTTCATTCTTGTATTGGTCTTTTCTAAGTGTTATTATTTAACCTTCTTTCAATAAATTTGTATTTAAATTAATACCATTTGCATACATTTAAGAAGCACTTGATTCGGTTCCAATCATTTATTTACGTGTGCAGCTTCCGTTGCACCATTTCCGTGTGGAATTTCCGTTAAATTTGCCTATTTAAAATTTTTCAAAATGTGATGCGGCTATAATTTATTCGACCACTGTATGTATTAATAAGGATTAATCAATCAACTACATTAAAGTTTTGAAATAAAATTTGATTCCCAGGGATTTTTTTATATTATAAAATTATAGTTCTCATATCCGGAAGGCCTCTTCACCTAGTGAAAGGTATAGTGAAAGTTTTGGAAAGGTTCATACCAAGGCGTTTCATGGCACGCAATCCTTTCATCAAGTATGATGAAATATTAAAAGAAATTTAGTTGACTGGGAATAGTAGGAGAACCTGGGATAGGTGATATATTTACCACCGACTCCGTAAATATCATAATACTGAATTTTGTTAGTCGAACCAGCCATGAAGGGCTAATTCACCTCATTTTTTTTTTTCAAATTAGTTCTAGTACGGCAAAAACATCAAGCTTCTTACTGTCCCTTGAATTAATAAAAAAACTGATAAAGTCTTGCATTAGCATAAATATACACTCATGTGTGTGTAAATATAAATGCATTGATTTGCATATACTACATACATATTTATACTTGGATACGCATATCAACTTCCGTCAATCAGAATTGCATTTTTTACTTACAAATTTTTGTATACCTCTTTTATTGGTAATATTGGTTATATTTCGCTACAAACTCCTTCATAATGTACGAGCACACGCATACAAAACTGTATAAATGCGAGTAGGTATGTATGCGTATACATATATATGTGCAATGGCACTTCATTGGCAACATTTCCTTTTATTATTCCTATTTTACACTTCACCTTGATGTTGCACACTTTGAGTGACAAAATTGTTGCGGTCAAAAACCCAATTCAAAAGTCCGTTTAACCTTGAGCATCTGCCAGACATTTTTACGTGAATACAACATGCATTTGCATACAAACATACGTGTGTTGAGTATGCGTATAATGTAGTGTTTTAAATGCACTTTTAATGCCCATAAATGCATCCGGCTGCAGGCATTTATATTAAATTTAAATTTTTGCATTCAATCGAGAGTGAAAAATTATTGCACTTTAACGTGTGATAGGCAATTCAAGCGGGCTTCGACCGCTGTAAACCGGATACGTACGACATACTTACATAAATTATGACCAGCGGGTTATTGACATCCAGACAGTTCATTGAAGAGTTTTTCTGTGGGTCTTTTGTATGGTAACACTGCGGGTAAAAGGAATGATGCTCAACAAAATTCGAGTTGAACTCCACAGCAAGCTTTTCAGACTCCCATCGCAATAAATCGGAACGAGCTGTCGGAACTTTGAAGGGATTCACTTACCTTCCAAACTCTGACAAGTACTTCACCTTCACCACAAACTCCATGCCGTCTTCTCCGTTGATTTTTCTCATGTTGAATGTCTAATCTTTTGTACAATCAGCAATAATGTATTTTTGTTGGCGTAGCTTCTGCTCAATCTGATTTGCTTTCATTTAGTCTTGAAAGTGTTTGCATTGTGAGACCTTCCTGACAGGTTCCCATTTGATAGAGAATGGAAGATGACTCGAGTTTTATTAAGGATCCATCACTGTCTCAATCGCTGGGCATAAGATGTACTTAAGGGCTGCTGTGCCTGATCCGCGAAGTACGCACAAACATACGTATATACATATTTACATATTGTGGCTTTGTAATCTTTATTCTAAAATAGAACATACGCTGAAATAAGCTATTAGTAAACCTAGACTCTTAGGGAATCATAGTGGTACCTTATGTCGATGATGCAGCCATGGTTGGAGGGCGCTCTAGAGAAAGTGGATTCCTGGGCCATATGGGCGAGTAGTTCATTTAAGAGCGAGCAAGGAAAGCCGCTGTGGCCCTCTATGCAGCCAAAATGAAAGCAATATATCTGAATTGAACCCAAAGATCTTAGACTGAAGCTATACGCATATAAGAAGAGCTGGGCAGGCATAGCCGAAACATATCGGATAAACCAAAACATGATTACCTGGTACACCGGTGGCTCATTGACTGAAGAGGGTACCGGGGTAGCTGCAGTTGGACCAAGGTAAAGATACTCGGAACCGATGGGAAAACATATGTCCATTTTCCAGGCTGAAACATACGCTATAGAAAGATGCGCGGACTTTAATATCAAGCGAAACCACCGGAATCAGAACATCGCGATCTTGACTTACAGCCAAGCGGCTTTCAAGGCCCTCAGAACTCATCAGGTAACATCTAAACTGGTGATGGAGTGCCTTGATAAGCTGAATACTCTTGGTCTGACCAATCAAGTTTAGGTTCTCTGCATTCCGGCACATATTGGTATTAAAGGAAACGCGATTGCCGATAAACTTGCGAAGAAAGGAGCATGAATACCTTTCACCGACCCACAGCCCTTCTGTGGCTTAGGAAAAGGAGCACTCTCTGCCCTGACCCGGTTAGCGGAAGAGGCTCAAAGAAATTGCTACTGGGAAATCTACCAGGTCTAGAGCAATCCAAAGCACTTTTAGGAACATATGTATTACCTAAAACGATTTAAGGAATGTATGAGCTTATCCAAGAATGACTTAAGAATTGTTACAGGAATCCTGATAGGACATTGCAGGCTGAACTATCACCTGACTAAACTACGAATTCACTCGCAGGAGCGATGGAGATTTTGCAGGACAGATATCGAGACGAATTAACAAGGCAAACTTAGCACAGTGCGTAGGCAACTGGCTGAGTCAGTGGTGATCGTCGGTTCGAATCCTACTGAAAGAAGTCTGATGAGGAAATGTGGTGATTTCCGAAATAGCTATCACTTCTACGATTTTTATCAAATTATTGTTGCTTTTCCACAATAAGTTTTCACTAAAAACGGCCTCAAGCTCATAAAAATTGTTGAGTATTTAGTTAAGTCAAAGTCTCTAATTTTATATACGAAAGCTAAGCATAGGTGAAGCTATATTTTATCGTTTAGGGTTTGATCTGTAATATAACGATCCACTTAGAACCAGGGTTGCGTTGGGTATGATAATACCTAAAAATTCGCGAGTGTTTACACAGGATACTGGCCAGCGGGTGAGCGTGCCAAAAGGATCGGTCTTTACTTCTGTAGGTTCCGCCGCATATGCAAAGAAGCTGGCTCAAAGGATCTAGTAAACAACTTTTTCCTCGAGTGCCCGGTCCTTTCAAGCGTGAGCCAAAGACAGAATATTTAAGAATTTAAATCCGCAAAGTAGCTGTAGATTTGTGCGAGTTTTTAGAATGGTTAAAGTTTTCTAATTGCTTATCACGCCGGGTGATAAAACACTTTAACTATTTAGTTATAGTTCAAGTTTTTCAGCTTTTAGCATTGGTGGTAATTCGGTGGCCTGGGGCTGTAATAACAAATGTTTCTTTTTCTTTTTGCCCATTCATTTTTTAATTAAATTCGCTCATCTTGTGCACTTTTTACTGTCCCGCAGTGTAGCTTAAACAATTTAATATTGAAAAACAAATATGATGTTAATTAAATTAAAAATTAAACGGCTTTTAGGAAAAATTCTGATCGTTGAATTTAAGTGACTCAGCGAAACATTGTTTTTTGACCAAAACAAAAAATAAAAAATCACTTGCGTGTGTAAAAAATAAATAAATATTTTCAAAAATCACCATGAACCTGTTGCCTTTCCATTAATGAACATCACTTCCTTGTGCATTTTTTACGAGCGAATGTGTACCTACAACAATAAGTTAATTGAAGCAAAGCAAAGCAGAGTAGCTAAAAAATATTTATGTACATACATATATATGTACATATGTATGTATATATGTATGTTGCTAATCGCATTTTTATCGAACAATTTTGGCCTCTACGTATTGTCATGAACATGTATGTATGTATGTATGTATGTATTTTGAGAATGCCTTAAAGATGCCTCACTATTCACTTGACCTTGCGCATATTTTATGAAATTAACGATTAAAAAAAGAAAGAAAATATGAGAAGTAAAAAAAATGAAATGCTTCAAATTAAAGACGAAAAATGTTACACAATGCATGTACGTAAACAACATTTAAACGCAATTAATAAATATCGCAGCCAACCAACCACTCTACCTGTCACTAAATATTGTGCGTTCGCATATTAATTGAGCGCGTGAATGAATGATTTTTATTTAAATTGTTTAACATTAATTTTTTTAAGAATTATTTTATATTCACTGCCTGCATATAGATTGGACTCACGTTTTGCGCGTGCAATTTGTGTATGTCCTCACTGTTGCAGATAAATAAATCACTGTAAGCCACGTATTTGTGGTTAATGGATTATCATCTGCAAGAGAGCAATGCTACTGTATCGCCTAGCTTGGCAGCTACTATACTACATTGCTTGCATAACTAAGTAGTGGTGTAGTTCCTCGAAAGAATTTTGTATATAAAGTAAAAAAAATGCACAGCTTTCGTCAGCTGTTCTTCACTTGAAAAACATGGGACAGGAAGAGCAGGAGTGTCAAATTTGACATGAAATTATTATTTTTCCTGGTATATTAGGGTGCATCACCGAAAAAAAATTGCAATTTTTCCACGGCAATTATAAAATTTATTATATTAAAAGAGTCCCGCCCGATTTGAAAAGACTTCCAAAAATCAAGGTTTTTAAGATTAGTTTCTAAAATTTTTTTTTCCCAGGAAATTACCTCAGATAATAGCACATTTTAGGCTTAAAATACCTGCATAAAAATATTTGAACATTTTACCAATGGGAAAAAAATATATATTTTTTGAGGTACATATTTTCAAATTAATGTTTTTCCGAAATAGTTTGGCGAAAATCTTAAAATATTATAGATTTTATAATTCTGATGAAAAAACAGTACCGATTTTTTTTTGTATAGAGAGTGATACACCCTAATGTACATATTCCATTTAAACCCGCCTACATTCCTC